GAGTACGCGGTTCTTACAGCTGACAATGATGATAATGATGATGATGTTGATGACTAGGGCTGAAAAAACCTTCACATCAGATCATTTTTAGACTGCCATAGAGAAAGTTCAGAACTACCAAATCAGTAATCGAATTTTGTCGCGGCCCTGCGTGAAAAGGACACTGTTGACAGGTCCACAGAAGCTAGGGTACCGCATCCACCCGAAGAATTACACAAAAAGGGCGAAACCAATTTTTGACTGTCGAAGAAATTTTCAGTGGTCCTGCGGTTATTACAGCTGACAATAATGATGATGAACCTCAGCAGTTATTGTAATGAGAGATATATGGTAGGAAGATGGAACAGGGGAAGGTTAGGCAGATAATAACTAACCAACTAAATAATAAATGGAGCAAAAGAGATGAGTGAATAAATAAATAATAAGCAAATAAATAATTAGTAATAAATACATGAATAAGTAATTAACACCACGTGGCCGCACATCCTCACAAATTCGGATTCATCTTGTGGCATGTGGATCGATTCGCGACATACCCGGTTAACTGAAGTTTCAGTGTTAGGCGAAATTGACGAGAGAACCGTTACCCGGAACCCTTGGTATATAGCTTCCGAAGCCATGGAGCGGAACGTAATCTCAGTAAATCGCGACCCTGTCACTATGAACGGGGTTTCTTCCATACGTACTTCCAATCGTGAGAAACTAAACTAAAGTATGCTAGCCGAAAGCATACAATGCCTTTAGGTGTTTCACTTTGCCTAGGCAGAATGAATTAATGAGGTCTAGGTTCTCGTCCAACGCATCCTAGTAATCAGCTGGTTAGCTACGTGCGCTCCCCACAGTTCGAGTGGCCAAGGACTGGGTGGCCATATAATTAGTTACATCGTGATACGGTTAGCAAATTCCACACCTGGGTTACGTGTGAAACATACCTAATGGAACTAAGGGCTGATAAGGTATCTTTTTGCCAAGATACCTGGAAGAAGGTGAATTTGTAGTTACATTTTTAGCAAAAACTTTTGAGCTCACCAACCAAATTATGTTCAATTTATTTTGAGTAGAAAACCCAACCACAAAGGATGTGAACAAACAGACAGCGCTTAGAATAACACTCAGTATTCCTGGTTTGTGCTCCCACAAGAAGCGCCGTTTCTAACTGAATACCGTGTACGTGACGACGTTGAGATTTCCGCAACTTCTCTCCACTGTGTGGAACCATGCTTTAAGCCAATATCAACTGCTTTCCTGATTTTTCGAGCTGGAATAGTAAGACCAATCATGCGTAGGGATCAGATATTTTGAGTGTGATGCGCACTACCACATGTCTGGAACCATTCAACCGTCGCATTCTCTCGGTGTGTGGATATCATTTCATCTCAGGAGAATGCAAAGGCTGAGCCACTGCAATCTTGTTGTAGCTGAGAGGGGCGCGTTGGTAAAGTCAAGGATGAGCTCAAATTAACACTACCTCTATCGACAGCTCGTTCGTTCACCGCTGGGCCTTCTGGATTTGGTTGGGAATATGTTCTCGCGAGGGATGTACTAGGTAATAGGTAAGAGTCATTTGGTTAGACCAGGGCGTTTTCGTCTTGCCTTAGTTGCCTGATACTTGGTACCTGTTGTCTTGAAGGTTGGCTTGTCGTAGCAGTAATGCTTGTGTTATTAACGGTAATATATACTTGAATAGCACTCATTGGACCCAAAGACACCACAGATACACTGGATGGGTGGGCTACCCGTTCTAACATCTCTTGACCTAGACCGGCCCAATGGTTCTTACAGTTAGCCTAGATGGACGAGATGATATTTCAGAGCTGGTGTCATACATGCCAATGTGTCGGAGTATGGGCAACTCAGGTGCGTTTACGAACTGTTGGTTGGGTGGCTATTGGTCTGTTCACCAAGCCTGGAAATGCGCTTACTAACTTTTCGTTATCAAACGAATAGGCATCACCAGTGCATGGACGTGATCAACAAACAGCAGGTGGAAACCAACCCCACATAATCTAACTGGTAGTAATAATGAAAAAATAACCTTTCAACTGTGAAACCCTTTCAGGGTATAAGTACTGTTCAACTGGAAGGGAGCATGCAGTCCAAACCTAATCAGAAATAGTCGAAAAGACAGGTTCGGTTCCAACCCTCCGGCTAGTAGTCTTTCCCCACCCCAACCGCTGGAGCCATCTCAGCTTGCTTGTGGTGTTTCATCACCACTAATGTAGAGTGATTGTGGCTTTGTGATGAAGAGGTGTGACTTCTATATTCTTTCACTGAATAATCACGTCATTGGATTTGTTTTTAACACTACTCGCTTAGGCATGCCTGTTGGGACACGCTACTTGACTGCTGCCGATCAAACAGAGGTGACATATGAACATGAATTAACGAAATGATAATAGGATATTAACAGTCGGCTTCACCTCTTGACAGTGGCAACATCCGCACATTCGATGAAGAGCTGTTTTTGCTTGAACCGATTAACCTTGGGGAAGTGACGCGAGATTGCTCAAGTGGCTAGAGCGTGAATTTACTAACCGGAATGTCCGTGGTTCGAACCCGACCTCAGCCTCTCGACTTCCCCTGTCTAGGCTTGGGCAACCTGGCAGTATCCCGGCCCTCATACTTCCCTCAGGTGGCATGGCAGCTAGGCACCAAGTGTTACAGTTGAATGATTATCTTATCTTTATTATCAGCTAGTTTGCTAACTAGCCTTTCTGGATTTCCTCCGGAATTCCCTAGTACAACAGGGAGCAATGGAGTAAAAATGAAAAGAATCGACTTCCTGCTTACCTAGGAATTTTCCGGTAATGTATATGAAAAAAAGGTGCGAGAAACGTATGATAAATACTATTCCAAATTCATCGCCACGATGCTTTATTGGATATTCCAAGATTCGTGCAGTACAATCGTAGACTCAATGGACTTTGGATTCCCTTTTCAACGACTTCTCACTTTCAAGTTGAATTACCGTGTACTTGAAGCCACTTTGATTACATTTCGGAACTTCTGTTACCTCAAAATTGCCTCATGGCGTTCAAGATGAGAGGTAATGCAAAGACATCATGGATAACTGCTGATGTTTTACACGGTGATTTCATTGGTATGACGGCTAAGCATCCATGTTGAGCACTGATGTTGGGCTGTCAATGATGTTGACTCCTTACAGCTTGAGAGCAAGGGCTGTCAATGATGATGTTGACTCCTTACAGCTTGAGAGCAGCCGGTTTTTAATCCTGACTTCCAGGACTGGCCGCATCCTTCTCTTATATTATCGCACTTTTCAACGAATGAAATCAATACGTCGGTGTATTTGGATGGGCTTTTTGTCTGTAGAGGTAATTTCGAACAGAGCAGGTCACACCAGTGAGTGTAGATGGCAAACCGAATGGTTTGAGCTTCTTACGAGGTATGTTCCTCTTGGATGAAATCATGGACGACGAGTGATGTGCTGTGTCCTGATCAATACTCTGGGCTGCTAACAGTGTTTTCCCAGTGATGAGTTTGTTTCCTTTGCAACATTCCTGTCCTCTTCTCTCCATTCAGGCCTTGGCCTTACCGGAAACTATATTAATCCGGCAAACGCATTTATTCAATCCTATGGAGTGGGAGGCGTCAGTACCCAAACTCACCTTCTCGTCTATTGGCTCGGTCCGTTTTTCGGTGTCTGGTTGGCTGTCCAGCTACAACATTGGACGGTAAAGTTCCTAGAACCATCCAGCTTACAAGTGGATTCCGACTGCCTTTTCAGCGAGACTTCCTCACCATCCAAGCAACCTCCACTTAATGGCAAACCTTGTTCTCCATCTACTCCATCTCCCGATTCCGTTCAATACGATTCCTTTTGTTCAAGTGCCTCGATCGATGTAGGACCATCCGGGACCTCCGTATCGCAAAGAAGATGGAGCAAACCATGATGAGATGTGTTGCTCACCATTATTTTATACCGACTGACTCGTTTGATGCTTTTCGTATTTTAATTCCTGAACTACCGTTTTGTTTTGTGACAAATGACCTCCCAGTCAACGTGATGTGTCACAATAAAATGATCGGTCGAGTCGTTCAATTCTTACGACTGATATATTAGAGTAATGAGGAATAGGTACCTTCCGTCCTGTTGGAAAATATTTGGTGCAGATGAAAGTACACAGTACACCCATTTAGCACGCCTTATTGACGGCGGTAGTTTGGTTGGTACTTTGATTGAAGACAACTTGCTTGATTGGTCAGTTTGATAGGAGAATGAGTAATGGAGGTTTCTCGTGATATTTTCGGACAAATACAATCCACTGTGTGTTTCTTTTGGTTTGGGACATATCACGTGACTGGTCATCCCACGCTTCAGCTAACACTTTTCAACCTCATCACTTTGTTAGAAGTATGTTTCGCATCACTCTCATCGTATAGTTCTCCAGACGCAATCGTCAAAACACTTTCCTCAATGGGTATACGAAATGAGAAACATTCACAGTCGTATGCAGTAATCTACCTAAAGATGGGATACTAGAGGGCGTAGCTCTCATTGCATCATCATCATCGTCATCATCGTCATCATCAGCTGTAAAATTTCCACGTGGAGCGGTTCTCGCTGCCACAGTTTCGTTCTCCGATGATTTAGGGAGGTGGGGTAGATAGGCACGCATCGGACACGGTAGCTGATGTAATTGATGCGTAAACACATTCTGGAAACAGTTTTCAGTGTTTGCTGCCAAGTCAATGTTTGACCTCCCCTGGCTCGTTTCCACGTGGTTGTGCGAAAAGGGTTACTCGAGGAATTCGGTCAACTGGCAAACGGCGCACTTGACCCGGCCAGCATTGAGTGTGATCAGTTTATCTGTCGTGGATGAGTCATTTCTTCTAAAAAAAACCATTCGACGTACCTCAACATTACCGATCCGGCGTTCCCACCAGAATTGAGCAGTGCTCTAAAGACATCGGTGGTCAAATAATTATATTTTCCTGGACATTCTGAGGGTGCAACTGTCAGGTTTCTGACCCGCATAATACTAAATGGAGCGCACCGCACCATTGTAAACTCGACCCTTGAGGGGTAAGCTACGCAGTAGATGATGGACGTTCACGAAAGCTGTTTTGGCCTTCCCAATCCGCATTAAAATATCATCTTTCGTGAAATCGATACAACTGCCCAGGTAGGCATATTTGTCTACTATCTGGATCGGCTCATCTGCAAGTATGAGGTTAAGGTTCTGACGCACTCAGTCTCGCATCAGCACTTTGCAGAGGTGAAGTTCATGCCAATCCGTGAGGCGGAATCATTTAGATTATTTAATATTTATTGTTTGCCGAAGGGCGAACCTTGTAACCGGAACGTACCCAATGGGTTTGCTATATGTCGGTGGACACTGGTTCCTTTCCATCTTGAATTCAGTGTTCCAATGAAGCATACGCACTCCCCGGGCATTCACTGATGACTAATGGTGCTTCCGCTTGTCCAAGTGATATATTGATCAGCCACATTCACTCTCCCATCTATGTGATGGTTCCATATGATGCAAATAGCCATTGTTCTCATGCCTCCATTCACGCCTGCCCCTTAACCAGTTTTTGGCATTAGAGATTGGGATGAAACCGCTGGTTGGTTGAAACCGCTGGCCATTATCCCCACTCGTATTTAGTCCGTTCGAAGCACCCCTAATCATCTATAGACCTTGAATACCAATTCAGGCTTCTGTGTTTCCAGATATTCCAGCACACATCGCCTCTCAGGAGCAGGTATTCAGTGAAAGTCGCCCCCAAGAATGGGTGCTTTCGTCTGGTAACCCTTGGGACCGGTTCCTGAGGTTCTCGAGGAACTTTGTCAGGTACCTGATAGCAAACTAATGAAATCTTTGAGTTTCTTTTTTTTGCACACCAAACGTTTAAAAAGCACCTTTTTCACTGTTATTGACAAAGTGCAACGCAGTACAACATATCGATCCACTTACATTCTATTTCTCGTATCGACTTGTCTGCCAAGCAGTTCATGAGAGACCAAGCTAAATCCATTAGTTATATGCGACATTTACAACCTTCCTCTGTATTCCAGATGGACTTAACTTGTGTGAAGGGTATTATCTAGAACAAATTGAATGGTCAGGCCATGTTGGATCACCATTACCTCAAGCCGGTATTCAGGACCTCACTAACTAGTTTATAAGGTTTGTGATTGTGCGGTCAACAATTATAAGTTTACCTGGTTACAAACATTGCAATCTTGATCGATCCTGGCTTTAAACAGAAGCTCACGGGCAGTTCTGATGAGAAACACCGGCAATCCCGATGAAACCAGACGGGAGGCTTCAGCTATTCAGCATTTCGAGGGCTCTTTCGGCTTTTTCAGTCTGCAATCTTGATCGATCCTGGCTTTAAGCAGAAGCTCACGGGCAGTTCTGATGGGAAACATCGGCAATCCCGATAAAACCAGACGGGAGGCTCCAGCTATTCATCATTTCGAGGGCTCTTTCGGCTTTTTCAGTTGCTAACGGCAAAAAATAATTATACTGCTCTGATTTCACATACTACTCATGAGGTTGTTTAACACTCGCGCACTACCGCTTTCGTCGCGCTTTTGTTTCCAACACAAACTTTCAATTTCATGCATGAAGAGTAGACACAAGTTCACAAACTGAGATGGCGCCAGACGTACAGCTCAGATGAATCTCTCGAATGTATCTTGAGGTCACTTTGATGCTGCACGCTCAGCTGAAGAACATCGTAAACAGGAAAACCGTTTCTGTGATGTGTCCACACTCTTAGTTTGCAAAAAAGCTGTGCAAACATGAGTTTGAATGTCAAATGAGTGCGGGAAGTTGGATCATTGGATAAAATTTATAAGAACGATCACCGCGCATTCTTGTCGGTAATAATGTTCCACGTTTCACTCCAGCCGAAAACATGTTTCACCGGAAAATACAGCGATGGAATGGCAAATCCATGTGCGAAGTCAGAAACCCCAGGATAAAGTTGAAAGACGTATACATCCAGAGCTTTGGAGCATAAAATGCGACTGTGTAGTCCTCGGTGAAATTGGATTAGGAATGAGCGAACCAATTGGTATTATTTCAGTTGGTTACTACGCAGGTTACTGCTTCCGGCAGGGTCTTGGAATGGCAACCTGAGTGATAACGAGATATGATAGTTTTCCAAGATACTCGTAAATTAGCCCCTCCAGAGTGAAACAAAACCCTACGTCTTCAACCCTCAGGACACTGAGTGACAGAGGAGGCTCTTGCGGACGTTCCATGAAGGCACTGGAACGGGTCTGCAGATTCTTACCAGCTTTAGACATGTCAATTCTATGGCCTAGGGTTGCACCACAAAGATACACATTATATTAGGCAAATAGGGATGTTCGGAACAGTAGCCTACCAAGACAGTTGGCAGCTGGGTAAGAAACGGACACGTCTTCAGTCTAAACTCAGGATGGTTTACCGTAGTGACATCAACCAAGCAGACTACCACCGTTGTATAGACTGAAATCACACCAAAGGCAAGATTTAGGGCTGTATGGGATTAGGAGATGACTATATACCCCTCTATTGGTAAGAGGCCATACTAATTTGTTCCTGACATACTCTGAAACTCGTCGAACCTCTTACGTGAAAAGTGAGATGTTATTCAACAATGGTTTCCGAACTCTTCCGAGACTTCTCGGTCGGCACCACTCGTATGCCACCTGAGCGAAACACAGAATTTCTTCTTTCTTACTTGCTAGCTTACAAATGGTTGCTCATCTTTGTCATGGCATGAGCAGACACACTGAGATGGCCATTATGGTTGTGATTCTCAGCCGAGTCTTTTGCACCCGTTCGGGCCAGTATTTCAATTTGCCTTATTGTGCGTCCCGTTTGCGAACCGGTAACTGAATCACCCACCGTGACACCACAGTTCTTATGTAGGAAATCGTATCACGTGATGTCTGGTCTGAGAAAAACCAATAGTTTGACATGCCCGACAGCTGGACTGGAAATGTGAACACAGCTGAAGTGGTCAGCTGACCTTAAACCACCATCTGATTTGAATTGGTTAATTGAGGTCAATGAAACAAAAGCTTTCGAGTCGGCTGCAGGAATGGGTTAACCACCTCTCGAGGCTTCGAAAGGATTGATTCCGTGTTGTAAGGTAGGCCGCGTGCTTTCTGTAATGATGTTGGTCTGGTCTTGGCGTATTATGCTCTCAGGTTTGTGGCGAAGTACGGCGTTTAACCATACACCTGTCATGGGTGTGGAAATTCAAAGGATCACAGTACCGCACTTTTAACTGAAAGCGCGAGTGGTGAAAAGCTTCCATTCTTAGTCATACGGAAGTATATCAGTCGCCAAGATACCCTTGATCTGCTGATCACAGGCTCCGACCGTGCTTGTACAGCCGTTTGCAACGTGGTGGTAATTCCTTGACTCTGGTTGCGTAGAATCAACGGCTAAATGGTGGATTGGTGAAGCATTATTCTGTTTTTTTTTAAAGAAAACGCACAACGTTGGCCTCTTCGTAAAAAGGAATCTCTTAGAATAATGTGCTCTCTGGGGGTTAAATGACAGATTCAGAAACTTTCTCCTTGTTGTCTTGATGCCACATGAACGTCCACTGAATACTTGCTCGTGCGTCCACAGTGTTGATATTCTGCAGGCGGTGCCCTTGTTCAGACGTATAAGAGCTATGATGCATCAGGATATAATTGTCAACTTTCAGGTAGAAGAAGGGATCAGTAAGCACGTCACTACAGATAATCATTTATTTCAAGAGGAAATAAACAAGTAAATCGATAGTTTTGAAGTAAGCTTCAGTGATGATACCAGATGTCTTGTTTCAGCACTGGGAGGACACACTGTTCCAAAACACTGCGTAGAAAAACAGGAGCATGTTATGAAGAACGAAGTAGCCAAAAACATGGCCTATGAAAGGATCTGAAAGGTTGCTGATCAGTTGAAGCGTATTTCTTCCACTTTCACGTCTTTTTACTCTCAAAAAGCCGCTTGCTTTACTCACTGGACGAAGTTCCATTCTGACGACTGAGTTAAAGTACACAAGACCATAGGGGCTGTTAAAAGTCTACAGTTTCTGAAAGAAGTATGAGGACTTTGTATAGTTTGGCAGGACAAATTTATTTTGCTATCTTTTTCCATTTTTCCGCTCTCAGTGAGGCCAGAATAGAACGGGAACATTTCTGTTGATTACTCACAAGATGCTTACTTCAACTGAATATACGGCTTTTACCACGGGATCGATAGAAAGCCTAGAGCATAACCGAACATTCAGTCTTAGGTGTGAAATATGCCCATCTGATAAACTAGGCACTGTTGATCCTGGAGGCTACTTTCTTGTCAAGGAACGCAGTAAATGTAATCCGGAGGTTCCCACAACTTGGATAGGTGACATACTTGGGCTGCTCCACAAAACCCCCGGCAAAGCCAAAAGACCTGGGATACTTGTCCTCGTGTCATATAGAGGGGATGTCGCATAGATTTTCATGATCATCGCGTGTTTCAGTGGGGACTAGATCCGGATCGACCACGCCCACCTACCAAGACGTGCAGTTAATCGAAACCTTACAGCGCTTCAGTCTCAGTGACGTGTCTGTTGACGTCTGGTTGCCATTAACAACCACTAATCACTTAGAGTACTCTCAATCTGCCATTCTGATTCGCCTCAAAATCCGCTCTTTCTAGTCAGTGTTCGTAATCAGGTCGACATCTGAAACTGACTTATATCGGAGAGCACTGACACCAAACGACAGTCCATTAGCTTTCGTTGCTTTTGTCCTCAGTGGTTTGCTTCTCACTCGTCATCAGGGGTGCTGCGCTTGTACATTAACCTCTTGTCACTCCATCAAACTTGGAAACGTATCGACGAAGAAAACTCGTCATAATGCCCCATAAATGTGACCCTGTGGGGAATACATTTCCATCCTCCGCTAACAGTTGATATCGTGAGGTCTGGTTCACCTGTCCTCTCCGCACTGACCTGCACGTTTTGCTGATCGATTTGGTTGTCCTCAGGCTTCCACTCGTACACGGGCAGTCAACTGCCGGATTGCACTTGCTAGAAACAGCATATAAGCTTGTAGTTCAGGTCACCTACTACCCACAAGCTGCCAACAAATTGTCACTTATCGCGAATCACGTGACCGGGGGATGAACGGTGCCACATCCCGTCTAAGTGGGAGTTGACCGGCGGCTAGAAGACAGGTAGGTGGTCGTGGGTTGGAACTTATCTAAAGATTCGAAGGATGGGCACTGGGGATGATTCCTAACAAGACCGAAACAGCTGTACAGTGCTTCCCGGCCTTTCGGGACACAGTGATGTCACAGCACAAATCCTCGATTGGGTCACTTTGAAGTTGTATCCTTTTTTGGAAGTATGCCTGGCTTTAAGGTGTAACACACTATAGCAGTGTTTTCTACCACAGATACTCAACAGAACGAAAACAGAGCACCGGCGAGGACGAAGCTTGACGTTTCCTAACAGGACAAGGACTGTTGAGGTAGATGCATCTTGGAAGTGCGCTGAACGTATTTCTTAACTGTGAACTCCAAGTTTTCTTTGACATGCATCAATAATTTGGACCGTTTTAGACCGCGCGATTAGCAGCAGTAATTTCAAAGTCACTACTATGTCCATCAGAAGCATCACCAAAGTGAATAAACTCACAGATATGCGCCAAGAAGTTTTACCCAGAAAATAGATCTCGTTTACCGGTTTCAGAAAAAGGCAAATCCGAAAGTGCTGAGTTGATTTAATGGAGACCCAGGCATGGCTTCCATTCGGCACTGGTTCATTCCCTCTACTGTTCAGATTATGGTGGAAAAGTATTGAGAGGCCAGCTCACATGAAAACAGCACTTGTTCTGTTGAACAGAACCTGCGCAATAGCATCCTCCCCATTAGGATGAACGAAATATTAAGAGGCAAACGTTCGGTGCCTGGCCGCCATGCCACCCGGAAGGAGCACGAGGGCTGGGATACTCTCAGGCTGTCCAAGCCTAGACAGGGGAGGTCGTAAGGCAGAGGTTGGGTTTAAACCACGAACTTTCCGGTCAGTAAATTCGCGTTCTAACCACTTGAGCCATTTCGCCCCTTAAGAGGTAAATATTGTAGAACAGCTACAAAACGCACGGAAGTAACTTAGAACCTTAACAGAGAGATAACAGCTCGAAAGATTTCTATGCAGTTCGCAAAAATACTGTCGGTGATTTGGGAGGTTCAGTTTTATACGAGACATTTTTTAGGTTCAGGGGAGTGATGGTACCAGCTACTTTTCACGATGCCGTACATCTGTGGACAAAGTTTCAGTGAAGAGATATCAGACGCTGTCGGAACATACAAAATCTGGTGCATCTGAAGGATGAATGTATTCCAATCAATGCCGAACGACAACGTTCTATCACTAATCTGGCCAGCAGGTGTGACCTTCTGTTGAATTGTTTTTCTTTTCCGATATCTTGTCTATAATGAACAGACACACATGTTTTGATGTATAATGGACAACTCAGCACCAATGCTCGCAAAATATTACCTATATAATGATTTGTGGAGACAAACCAAAGCAAGACTACTACCTCCCTTTACGATTTATTTCTTGATTCGGTCTAATGGCTTTCTGTTGAGATAATCAATGATTTTGTTCATCAATTTCTCCAATCTCCGCACGCTCATTCCCATTTATTGATTTCCATAATCAATTCCATGCGACGCAGCAATTCGTGAGTTGTGCTCTCAGCAGTGAACAACGAAGGGAACTGATGAATGCTGAAAACAATGCTAGCAGTGTCTGGTGGCGAACGTTGCTCACTGGATTCACGGATCAATGTTGGTGCACTTCAGACCAGTTCGAAAGGAGTCGATCACATGCCTATTTTTGAGTTAATTTGTTCTCGATTTATGTGGGTGGCCTTATAAGGTCAATAACCAACTCTCGTTTTCCTCTCAGTAGATTGCCTTGCCAGAAAATGTCAGTTCTAGAATGTGTTCGAACGTTACACATTTCCAACAAGATACGCATATTGACCTTGACCAAAATCTAGCTGAGGCATGAAAAGATCATCTTTATAACTTCCGACTGTGCGTGTCGGATCTTGCAGTACAGTTGGAAATCTTAACGTCAGCTTCAACGTGTCAAGTTTCATGTTCAGAATGCGCATGCGTTGAAGATATAATCGAAAAATACGATACATACTGGAGGTGACCCTTTGCATAGACTGCATTTGCTTACAGCTAACGAGTTCTGAGTGGCAGTGCGAAATCCCACGATTAGCCCGGCCCGGT